ATGGGGGCAGGAGGAGCACCGGGGGTGGCACAAGGTAGAGGTACCTGCTCGCTGGCGATGCCCCGCAGCCGGCTCAGGGTGTCCCCCGCGGAGAGGATCTCCACCTGCCCAGGGCAGTGTCAGACGCCAGGCCCAGCCCGGGGTGACACACGCTGGTGTCCCCTGGTGTCCCCGCGGCCAGGCACTGGCGCCGGGCACTCCGGAGTACTCACCTCACCCCTCGTGTTGCTCTTGTTGGGGACCCCCACCACGTACTCTGCGGGGGATGAGAGCCCTGAGTGCCCCCTCTGGGGACATTGAGGGGGGCACGGGGACACCCCCGGCACTGGGGTGGGCACAGGGATACCCCTGGTGCTACATGGGGGCATGAGGGCACAGAGATGGACACGAGCCTGTCCTCCCACAACCTGTCCAGCCCCCTCGGGAAGGGAAGCAAGGTCACTCTGGAGCCCCGGGGTCATCAACCCCTGTTCCGTGCACCCTCAGCCTTACCTTTGGTTCTGGGGTTGCCATCAAACTCGCCCACAGCCACCGAGTACCCTGCAGGGACATGGCCACTGGTGACTCAGGGGTATCCGGGCAGGAGCTGGCAGTGGGGCAGGGTGCCTGTGCCCGCTGCTCACCCCGGTACCCGTCCTCGTAGTCCCAGGACACCGGTCCCGTGGGGCGCCCGGGGGTCCCCAGCCACAGCAGGGAGCTGCCGGTGAAGCGCCTGAGGATCTTGTCCAGCTCCACCGAGTACACGAGCCCTGGGGGACACCAGCACTGACGGGGCACCAGCTGCCACCCGCCCTGGGCTGCCGGTGCCACTGCGAGTGGCATTTATGGGGTACCCACCCACCGGGGGTGCCCTCCTCCGGCCGCGCCCACCCAAAGGGAGCACCCCTGGAGCACCAGCCCGGGGGGCACGCCGGCAGTACGGACTCACCCGAGAAGTAGTACCCGCCGGGGGCACCCAGCACCAGCGTCCCGTCCTGCGGAGGAGCTGGCTCAGCACCGCCCCGGGGCACACCGGCATCCCCCCAAAGCATCCTCATCCAAGTGTCCCCCGCCCCAGTGTTTCTCGTCATGGCATATTCCAGCCCACCATCTTCCCATCCTGGCACCTCCATCCCAGAATCCCCCCACTCCTGGGACCTCGCTTCCCGGAATTCCCACTCTAGCATCCCCCACATCGGCACCCCAACATCCCCCGCCGTGACACCCAGGTACCATCCCTACCCTCGAGCAT